GTGAAGTTACAAGTTCAGTGGTTGTGCTGGCAATGAAGTCCTCATTTGTAGATTAATGTAGAAGTACTAAATCACAGTGTTTCACCAAGGTTTGTTTAGCAAATGGCTGATGTGTGCTGCCCTGATTAGGATGCTGCTTGCTGGAAAGGGCAAAGATTGCCTTTTCTTCTATATTTCCCTATTCTCCTGTAGAAAAGCAGATCATTTTCAAGTCTGGTGGCAATAATTATAACACACTGTAGATAGTGGTGGAGCTGGCAGTGTCAGGTCAACGGCTGGACTTGGTCTTAGAGGTCTTTGCCAGCCTAAATGAGTCTGTGAAATGCAGTGTGGCCTCCTGGTATCTGCTGAGAGTGAAGCAGAGTTATGTGATATATAAACTTCTGGCTGGATTCTTCCAAGCTGGCTGTATGGAAGAGGGACTGTGAGTAGGCAGCCAGCCAGCCTAATAAAAATACTGCAGTTTTGCTTGGAGCCTGCTGGTGCTTAAGGTCAGGGGAGGGAGGGATTTTACAGGCCACAGAGTGCTGTGTCTGTTATTGTTACACCTCCAAAGAAAATGCCTTAATAGGCTTTAAGAGAAAGTTTCTGGAGTTCTGCAGCAAAAACTTCAGCCTTATCCCTTCAAGCAGGAGGGGAGAGCTGTGTATCCTCATTAATCATGCTTTTAGCACCTGCTCCCTCACAGTTCAGGGCACTGATAAAGTCCAAATTTGGATTACAGTGCTGCAGAGACTAAAGCTGTGTGTTTTTATCTTCTCTTTGAAACAAAGCCTTGTCACACAGATCCCTCTTCACCATCTATCAGTGGAGCTGTGGAGTCAGCAGGCTGGTACAGCTCCATGTTTCTGCCACAGGATTGTCCCTCAGGAGGGGAACTTGGCAGTTGTTGTCCTGTGGGGACAGGGAGGGAAAACAAAACCTTAGATGTTAACTTAAATGCTGTAATTCATATTTGAATGGTTAAAACTACTGCATTTGATATTTGAATGGTTAAAGTTTGTCTTTTGTGTTCTGGTCCTTGTCACTGATGCTGAACCTTTCCAGGGAGAAACTGGCATGAGGTGAAGCATGTGGGAGTAGCAGAACTGCAGCTGGTCTGTTTACATGCACGTGCAAGGGAGCAGGAGAGTGTCCAAGTGATGGTGCCAGTACCTGCACACATACGGATGAGCCATGAGAGGTGAGGAGGTGCTCTCTGTTTGTCTCATGGAACCAGCAAGGTAAAATGAAGCACTTTACAGGCTTGGGGAAGGGGGTAAAAACAGAGGAGCATCAGAGGAAAGCATCATCTCAGCCTGAGAGAAGAGTTGGGTGCTGCAAACACACGTGCATTAATGAAACCTCAGCTTTGCCTCAGTCTCTCCCTCTCTGGATGTGGTGCTTGGATTTCAGCTTCCCACAGGGACTGACACCCATGGATAAACACTTGATGTTGTTTAGAGTTGCATATGCTCTAGGACATAACAATGAATACCAATGTGTGTGTTTGAGAGACAAGGTTAGAATACAAGGCCTTCACAGCTTATGTTTTGAACATTCTTGTGCTGATTTTGCAGTCTGGGCAATCTAGTGGTACTTTTGAAGTTGCTGGACTTAAAAGTAGCTAAGAGGAAAGAAATCCTCTTGGACCTGACTAAGAATAAGCTGTCTAAGAACAAGAATTGTCAAATCTGTGGGATAAGCCTGGTGTGTTTTGGTTTGCTTTTGTTTTGAAACCATAACTTGGCTGGTTTCAACAGGAAATTCTTCTCTCTTATCTCGTCTGATGTGTCTGTGATTTTGACTTACTTTCCTCACACATGCAAGAGCAATTCTCAAGCAGAAGACAGCACAGCTATGAATTTATGAGATTACACATACTTGCAGCCCAAAGAAATTCCACTTCAGTAGTTTTACAGCCTATTTTAACTGGCCCTTAGAGCAGCCTCAGACACAGTGTGGTTTCCCTCCTGACATAGGCTGCTTTCTCCTACTGGGATTTGCCATTCTGTCCTCTGATGTCTGAAGAACTGTTTCAGCTGCATCATGTGGTTGTGCATCTTTCAATTTCTTCTGTTCCCACTCTTGCTAGGAGCTGTTTTTTTGCTGTTTCCTCTTGCTCTGTGGGCAGCAGCCTGACAGAGTAGTAGGTACCTAATTAATTGCACTGAGTAGATGTGTGTGTGCACTCTGGGAATGATATTTTTGCTGTTTTAGGTGTTATAGAAGTGACAACTCAGTGTCTTGCAAACAGACTTCATTTTGCTGCGTGTTGGGTGAGGGGGAAGAGAATTACTTACTAGGTATTGATGGTTTTTTGTACTACCTACATACTGAAAAAGATTTGCAAATATTGTTCAATCACTCTGGTGAGACTGGGCTTGCAGGGGAATAGGATGTGATCCCCACAACAGAGGAAAACTGCTGAGAGGTGTTACAGGATGAAACACTGAGTGTGATTTGGCCTCTCTGCAAGGAACAGATCACTCTGTGTGTGTGTGTGTGTGTGTGAAAGGGATGTGCTGTGATTCACAGCTCAAACGAGATTTTAGGTGGGAGAAGAAGGCAGGAAATGAGGCTGTGGGATCTTTGGGACACTACAGCTACGTGCTGAGTTGTTGTGCTTGTTTAACCCAGTAGGTTTGCACCTAGGGTGGAAACTTGGATTCCTGGCATTGGGTCAAGGCCAGAAGTATGTTCTGATTGCCTTTTAATGACAGATATTCCACTGCATGTATGTCCTATCTTGTAGTGTTTCATTGGAGCTTTTCATTGGGAGCCTCTGGATGTGTTTGTTCTGTGGTGATGCTGTTTGCTCTGCTGCTGGCACCGGTGTGTCTGGAATCCATTACTGGAAGGAGGTGTGTTAGAGAGGCAAAGAGTGAATGCATCACATTGATTCAAAGTACAGTTTGTGACTAGGTTTTGCTGCAGAGCAACTACATAGGGTGTGCTGTCACTTAAAGGAGCTGAATCCCAGGCTGGAATGCCAGGTGAGTCCATACAAGCCTGTATGTGTTCAGTATCCATGGATGCTGTCAGGCTGGAAGGTGGTGTGTGCTTTTATTTGTGGTGTGGGCATTTTGGTCAAAGCAGTGCCTTGGGTTTTTGTGGTACCTGCTGAAGGTAGAGGTATGAGGACAGTGAGTGCAGCTCACTTTAGGTTGAAAATAAGCCCTTGGAGGGAGTTGGGGAGGTGAAAACATTCTGTCCTCACCGCTGGGCCTGGAAATGGGCTAACTGCACAAGCAGCCAGTAAATGGCAGCATTTATGGGCAGCACCTTCTTGCTTAACCAGTGAGGCCTGGGTAGGGTTTAGAAGTGCCAGATCAGTGCCTTGAAACAGACTTCCATCTTCATTCTGCTGTGTGGTTTGCTAAGAGCTTATTGGTGAGGGTTATTCACTGCATATTGATGGAGTTTAGTCCTATGCCTGTGCTGTCCAAACCTTCCATTTGCAACTATTGGTCCGTCACTCCTGTGGGCTTGGCCTTAGAGAGAAATTCAGGGGTGGTTTTCCTCTTCAAAGTCACAGCAGCCAAGCTCTGCCTTCCCAGGTGTCTCATGCAGATTCCTCCTTGGCTGCCACTCAGGAGTGTGTCCTTAAAAGGCCACAGTAAATTTGCTGTGGAAATTACCAGCGAGACACCTAAGCAAATGACAAAGACGAGTGTCCTACAAAAAATGCCATAATCTGTCAATGTTTTTCAGCCTTTTAGAAGATTTCATCCTGTCCAGTTTGTGCATGACAGTGAACTGCTTAAGGCAAAAGCTGTTCTGCTTGCTAAGCTCACTGTCCACTTCTTCAGACAGCTCGATGGAAGTTGATCCTCCTGCCCTGACAGTGCAGGGCTGTGCTGCTGATTCACCAAATCAGGGGCCTGGAGCAAAGAGCTCAGCAGTGTAAATGATCTCACACAGTCTGAGAAGTGGCTTTGTGCTGTGTGTGCTCTGAAAATGGAGATTGTTGAATCTTCTGCAAAGACCTGGAGAATATGATGCAGCTTCTGTCTGTTTTGGCCTGTCTTGGCCACTCTGAACCACACGGAGCTGGCTGAGGCCTGGAGAGGCTGTTTGTACACCTCTGAATTGGGAATTCAGTATAGAATGTGAAGGAGCACTTTGGTTTCAGATGCAGTGGAAGTGTGACATGAATCTCACACCCTCTCCACGTAAGTCTCCTGCTGTAAGCATCATGTGAATTTACTCACACGGTAAATCACACGGTGAAAATGTAATTAATGGCTCCTAAATGCAAACTCTTCATTAATATTTGAAGCATGACTGATGTGGCTCCTGCAGTGGGTTGGTTATGCAGTACTGTGATGGAACATCCTGTACTTGGTGTGTCTGGTAGAACTTGGCATGATTTGTCTTCTTTTCTTCTTCAGCTTCCATGGAAAAAAGGTCTTTTTACTCCTTGGGGTCCAATTCCTTTTCCTGACCAGTGTGGCACGTGGTGTTTTCTTTGCTTTTAGATTTTTCCCATCAGAGAAACCTGAGTTTCTTCTTGCATCCCACATTGCTGTAGTTTGGAAGCAAATCCCAACAAACAGTGGTGTCCATTTACACCTTCTCCTACCACCACAAGCTCCTGCCCACATATTTCAAGTTAATAGTGCTGCCTGCCCTGCAGCTAGGTCTGGAGCAGCATTCCTGATGCTGTGCTGTTTTCTGGAGTGCTGGCTATATCCATGGAATTGTGCTTTATGGGAAGTTTCCTGTGCCCTGGTGCTGCCCAGGCCTGGCACAATGGCACGCTCGGGTGCACGGAGTAATGATCTCTGTGTGGTGGCACAGAGACCAACTTGTGTTGACTCTGCAGCCCTGCCTTGTGTGGAGGGGAGGGAGCTGCTGGGGCTGGCCAGGCCTGCAATGAATTATTCATCTCAGTATAAAGGGCAGATTGAAAGCTTTTATGGGATGGAAGGCAGGAGTTCCATTTCAGTTCAATGGAGCACTATGCAGCCTCCATAAAACTGCTCTGAGCTCGCAGTGTTGTGCTGCTTCTCAGAGGTACTTGCATGGGATCCACCACTGAAATGCTCTTTTGTTCATCACAAAACTTTCTGCTTGTGTTCTCTTTCCTTTAGGAGTCTGTTCTTCTTTAGTGTTTGGACAGTCAGCTGAAACTTCAAGCAGCAGCTGAGTGAAGTTCACCAGTTGTACACCAGGTTCTTTCTCTCTTTATTTTGTTAGGAGCAGATCATAGGAAAGACAGCACAGGTTTCTGCTGTGTGTTCAAGGCCTACTTAATACAAAATTAAGATGGGGGAAGATGGAAAATTCCCCACTCTGGGTGGATTGGTATGGATTGCATGTTCAAGGCCTACTTAGTACAAAATTAAGATGGAAAATTCTCCACTCTGGGTGGATTGGTATGGATTGCGTTTGTTTGGTTGTTGAGTTTTGGTTTGGTTTAAGCTATTCATTACCACAGTAACAGAATAGGAGGTAAGTTCACTAAGCTTGAACACAGCAGTAAAGACCAAAACAGGATGACATGCTTAGTCCTGTCACCTTAGCTGTCCTTGCATGATGTTAAGTAATTTAAACCTGCTCTTATGACGAATTATTTGCTAGAAAAAATCTGTTTATTCCATAGACAGTGTTAAATACATTAAAAGCTCTACCTTTCCTGCAATATTTCATCTCCTGTTCATGGCAGGTAGCAAGGGCAGGGAAATCAGAACCCAGATGTTCTGTGACTCCTTTGAGATGTCAAAATGCAGACCTTGTGAGCATGCTGGACACAGAGGCTGGTGGTGATGCCTTCAGGGGAGGAGAGAGGAAGGACAGGGGACTGATACAGACTTCCTGAATTCCTGAGCTTCTGAAAGATCCCCTCCCACCATCTGCAGATGTGCATTGCATTATGGCCAGTTGTGGTATGCATGAATGAGAGCTCTTGTTTTGGGGCTGCCTGTGCTGAGAGGAGGGGGAGGAGGAGAATCTTGCACTTGCACTTGTCCTCCTTGAGTGCAGTGGGAAACGCTGGGCTCTGTGGACAGCAGTTACCAGATCCTCCTGGGGCAGTGGCATGTCTTTGTGTTCCTTGCATGAAGGCTAGAAGTCAGTCTCTGAAAAGTTAGTCAGGGATGCAAAGAACTGTCATCAGTCTGTAGTCAGGGCCTGGCTGCTTTTGGAGTTGTGGTGCATCTCCTCAGCTGTGAGTGCTGAATGAGGGGAAGTAAAGGTTCAGATGTGTGTGCTTGGCAGCATAAGAAGAACTCAAGAGTGATCAAAATTCTGGGTTTGAGGCCTCACTGTTCCATCCATTCCCCTGATAGCTAGGAGGAGAAATGGTGGCAGTAACTGAAGAAATGTGAAGGAGCTTCTGCCCTGGCTCAGGACACTGCCTGAGTCTGCTTCCAGGGTGGGATTAGCCACACTCAACACAAGTTTGGGGTTTCTTGGCTCCTAAAGTATCTCCCCTGGGTAACCGTACCCTTTTATTTGACTTTTTGTTGTTATTTCTATTCCACATTCCCAGGAGAAAGATTAATATCCACTGCTTTCTACAAACCATGGATGTGGCACTTAGTGTTATGGTCCAGTAACCACGGTAGGGTTGGACTGGATGATCTTTGAGGTCTCTTCCAACCAGGCTGATTCTATGATTCTATGATTCTCACTCAGTCTCTGAGTCTCTGCTAGTAGCCTGGCCTTGCTGCTGACAACTCAGTCAGAGCTTCCTCCAGACAGAGATGTGACAAGTGGATTGTTGCTCTGTGCATGTGTCTGGAAGGACATCTGGAACCCTTCCCCAGGCTCTTGTCACCTGTCAGAGCTATGGCAGGACATTGTGGTGCTGGAGGAGCCTCTAAAGAGGGGCTGGAAGTGACAGAAGGTGCCCAGCAGCTGGACAGAGTCATTACCTGCCAAGGAAAGCTGTGCCAAGGTGGCAGGGAGCAGGGAAGTTGATGTCACGTTGCTTGAAGGAGTCTCTTACAGTGTGTCTCCTCTGCCAGGAGCCAGGACAGTATGTCATTCTGTTGCTATGAAATGTGCTGATGTAGGAGGGACAAAGTGTGGCTTGAAACAACTGACCATACTGTATTGCCTTGGAATGCAATGGGCCAGTGGTGAAAGCAGAAGAAAAGGCAGTTCTTACTTAGCCAGGCTGAGTTCTGAACGGTTGAGCGCACAGATGGAGCCTTAAGAAGGTCATGGGCTTAATAGCATTGGCTTTCCAGGCTGCTGCTCACTCTCTGCCACCTTCCATTTGGCTTTTATTAAGGGATCAAAGAGGTTCTGAGGGAAGATGATGATTAAACTCTTGAAAGCTGATGCATTTAGAAAGAGCTCAGCTTCAGAAGTGCTTGTTTCCTGCTGGGTGAGAGTGCTGGGATGCAGGAATCAAGGGGGATTTTCCCCAGTGCATAGCTGACCTCTCCCCAGACCATAACCTGCCCTGGGCACCTGACATTTCCACAGGGAGCTTTCTCCTTCACCCAAACCTTGCTGTTCTGCCCTTGGGCACCACACTCCTTCAGTTCTTGCTCCCCAGTCGGACCAGTAAGCCAAGGACTCCAGGAATCAGTGTTGTCCTGAGCTCTGAACCGAAAAGGTACTGGCATGTTCCTCATAAAGTAAGCTAAACAGGAAAAATTGCATAACTTTGTCTTGAATTTGTAAGGAAGACATTATTTATGCTGACTGTCCTGAAGAAGAACTTTAGTCTTGTGGCTTCTAGTCTAGACAGGGAGGTAGAGAAACCTGGCGTGGGCTCCTGGGTCTTCCACAGTCTGGCACAGAGACTGGAAGATTCACCTCTACAAATGGAACAAGTCTTAATTATTTAGTTCTCTTAATTGAAAGCCAGGTGTTATTTAATTAGATTTTTTATTCCTCATGAAAACAGGGCCATTGGAGATTGCCAGGCTGGGGTTGTGAAGGATGGCTGAGGCATGTGCACGGGATTGCTCCTGAGCAAAGCTGAGAAGCACATGTTGAGCCATTTCCAGCAGAGATGTAGCTAACTGAGTATATTTTTATAAGGTTCTTTGTTGTTTCCTTTTGCTGCTTGATTATACAACTCTGGATTTTTATTAGGACAGATATTTCACTATTTTTAGTGACAACAAACTTGTAGAATAAAACCAGGCTCAATAAATACAGCAGTGGTGCCCTTCTACCTTTGTGCCATCGCTGGTGGTTGTGAACTCTTCCCTAACCAATTGTTTCCTCTTGCAGGTTAAGAGAAATACTGAAGAAAGCCTCTCTCCCCCCGGAGGATCCTGACACCCCAGTGTCAGTTACCTTGGCCATAGTTGAGACAGATTCCACCATAGTCTACTACAAAATGACTGATGGCTTCGTGATGCCAGATCCTCCTGACGATACCGAAGACATGGACAATAAACAGTGGAGGAAGAAAAGAAAGAGGCTTTTCAAATGAACAGGACCAAAAAAAAGACTGTTCTTGAACTCTTGTCCTCAAACCTAAACAAACCCAGGAAGTGATGTATGTAAATCAGGCTCTCTGCCTTGGCACATCAGGGATTGGTTCGGGGAGAGCAGAGGTTTCTGCAGCTGCACTGGAGTGAAATGCCATTTTGGAGTGGGTCATGCTTTGGGACAGATCAATTCTGGCTAATAAATATACTTGTGAGGTGTTGTCAGAGCTTGTGTCTCCTCTCTCTCTGGTTCATAGCAGAACACACAGATTGTTACCCATACTGTAAATCCTGTTATAGGTAACTCTACAGAACACACAGATTGTTACCTGTACTGTAAATCCTGTTATAGGTAACTCTGGAGGGTTTCTGGCAGCACTGCTGATACCAAGTGAAGGGCTTTGTAGTTTACAGAGTGTCTTTGTCTTAGCACTGTCAGGAGCACTCATGTAACCCCAGGTTACATCTCTCAACACTTCCTTGCTTTCTCCTCTTTTGGAGAAAAGGCTTTTCCACAGAAATACCTTCCTTGATTTTTCTCTGCTGAAGGAAAACTGACTGCAGCAACACCAGAGGCTTCTAGAACAAAGTGTAGGCTAGTAAAGAGGTCTCTCTGCACCTGCCTGAAGAACCTGTGAGCAGAGGGAAACTCCTTCAGGAAGAGGTGGGTTATGCCTGGATCAACCCCATCTGGAAGTGTTGATGTAGTGTCCCCCACATAGCTGAATACACACACAGAGTGGTCACAACCCAGAAACACCCCCAGGCACTTGTTCCACAGACCTCCCACCAGAGTGTGTCATCTCCTGTGCTGTAAGTAAACCCTGAGTTACCTGCTTCATGCACCAAGCAGGTTTCTACACCCATTGCCATTCCTAGCATCTGTTATGTTTTTGGACACAGCATGGTAGAACTGGCTGCCCAAGAGATGCTTCAGCTAGGAGCAGTTAAGAGGAAAAAACCCCCTGACTTTTAGTTTCTTCTCTAGGAATTTTCCATGTCTTTCACATAGAGATCTTCAGGTTAAACTTGGCAATCAAATGCCATCCCAGAAGCAGCTTGTTGAGCACAAGAATGTCCGTGTGACAGCTGTGTGGCCAAGGATCACACACTCAGAATTCAAAGCACAAGAGCTCTATTTTTTTGTGCGGGTATAAGAATGGGAGAGAATCCAAAAAAACAAGCTGGAAATGAAAGGCCATTTAAGCTTTGCTGTCCCTGGGATGAGAGTGGATGTTTGTATGGCTGTGGAGTTTGAAGCTACTTTGGCCAAATGTGTTGGGAGGCAGAATGATCCCACAGGGAGAGTCCAGGGCTCCCCTGGAGGATAAGGGTCACTGTCACCTGGAGCTCTGCATGACACCTTTTTCCCCCACACAGCAAGGGGAGACTGTGGGTCTGTGGCCTTCAGTCAAGGAGGAAGGCAAAGAAAAACTCTTTCTCAATGTTTCTCCCCTCATGGAGGAAAAATATAATTTCATTTTGGTCCAGTGCCATACTGCCTTAAAGGGAACCTGTGTGCTGACTCCTGACTTCTTGTGACCTTGACATCCATATTTCATGCACTCTTATTCTGTAAAGTAAGTCTCACACCTTGCTAGGCTACACACCACCAGGCAGACTGTCCTTGTTAGAAGCTGTGAAGGATCTCAGCCCTGCTGTAGCATGTGCTGGGAAAGTGCTGTGTGTGTGTGAAGGAGACTGCAGCAAGTGCTGCACGTGGCAGAACTGGTATTTGAGCAACACATGCTTAACTCCTAATAACATTCTTTTGCATTTGCTTCAATTTCAGGGAAACACTGCCAGTTTGCTGCATGCCTGATGCTTTACCCTTCACTTCATTGTTTGCACACTCAGAAAGAGGAGCATGACTTGAGCTCCTTTTCTGTGCACTGAAAACTGCTGACCCAGCCCTCAGAAGCTGAGCTGGAGCAACTGTGTCTGGAGGCTTTGATTTCTGGTCCTTCTTGTGTCCCACTGAGAAATGATTATATAGGCCTTTTTCCAGCCTGCTTAGATTGTGGTGGTTCTTTATTTCTGAGGAAAAGAAGGCCTGGAAGAATAAATAATATCACAGCACTGTTTGTCCCTAGGTATTATAAGGCAAACAGGGGATGTTAACTAAGCTCAGAGCCAGCTGTGCTGTTCCTTTACATTCCACTGAAGGATTTCTCTGTGTCAAGTCAACAACACACAGGCTGGAGCCTCTGGTCTTCCAGGCACTGAATAAAGATGGGAAGAGACTTCCCTTAGAAGTGTATGAGTTCAGAGCAGCAGTGCATTAACATTCCTGAGTCCATAGTGTCTTGGTGCTATGCCTGAAGGATTGAAGCATAACTCTGCCTGAAGTGTTGGTGAGATGTCCATGGGAGTGTGAGCCTGACACCACTGCAAATCCAGCTCAGAGGATGTTACAGGCTGCATCTTGCCATCTTTTAGAGGGTTTTTTTTCAAGTTTGATTTACCAAGCACAGCTTGGTTTGTTTTGCTGGTTCCCCCTTGACCCACAGAAGGTGTTTTAAATATCTGAAGAGTATCATTTTCCAGTAGATTATTGTTTCAAGCCTTTTCTCTTTTCTTTTCTCTTTGGAGGGATGTTTGCATTGAAGCCTCCCCACTGAGTCAAGGATGATAGAAAAGCAGAGTGATGTTTTGGCACGGGTTTGACAGCAAGACTCGCTGCCTGGTTACGTAAGGGAGCGTTTGCTTGTGCAAACTGTGTCTACTTGAGGCATCATCCCAACCATCCTGTACCCAGCCTGACTGTTTGCAGCTCACACAGGACGTTCTATGTGGAAAAACACCAGTGGAGGGGCAGGAAGCCTTGTCAGGTGCATGAAGAGGAGCTGTGGGTGCAAGAAACACGTGCTGCAGCCAACAGCTGCCAAAAGGGAGCAACCCCCAGAGCTGTCTGTGTGCTGAGCAAGCAGAGCACGTGGCTCTATGGGCTGTGGCTCCTCCTGAGGGAGTCATCTATGCCTCTGTGGCTCTGTGTGTGCTGTATTGCAGCTCAGGGTGGAGCAGCTGGGTGGGCAAGGGATGCTGGAGCTTTGGATCATCAGTCCCTTCCTGCCAGGACACACTGGTGTGACTGGTTGGTCACCAGCAGTGCTGCCCACCAACAGTGACCAGCTGAAGGTGTGTTGCTTCCAAGCCACATCCTAAGCAGGATCCTGTCCCCTACAAAATGGGCCTCAGCATCCCTGCAAAGCATTTCTGTTTCTCAGCAATCACTAGAAGGAAGACATGTGCTCTTGTAACCCATTCTCAAACCCTGCAAGGTTTTCCACAGGATTTGCTTGGACACAACATTGAGATAGCAATAACATTATTAAAGCCAAGTGATCTTGATCTTTTTTTTTTTTTTCTGGGCCAACAAACCAACAAAGCTTTTTAGTTTAATCTAAAACATTTTTTCTAATAAAGAATCCATGTGAATATATTAGTCATCCTACTGGTATTGCAGATATGTAGAATGAGATGTTTAATAGGTTGTTCCAGTAGTTTTCAGGAATCTAAATGCTGTCAACTCACCCATGGGTCAGGACATGAATACATGGGATCACTGTTTACCTCCTCTAGTCCTCCAGGGACCAGGACCAGAGGGAATGGCCTGAAGTTGTGTCAGGGAAGGTTTAGGCTGGATATTAGGGCAAGGTTATTCCCCCAGAAGTGTTTGAGCTCTGAACAGCTCCCAGGGCAGTGGGCACAGCCCCAGGCCTGACAGAGCTCCAGGGGTGTTTGGCCAATGCTCTCAGGTACATGTTGGATTGTTGGGGTGTCCTGTGCAGGGCCTGGAGTTAAACTGACAATCCTTGTGGGTCCCTTCCAGCTCAGGATATTCTGTGAGTCTAAAAACAGCTGCAGCTCATATTTCAGAGCACCCCAGGGAGTCATTGGCTTTTCCTTTTTCTCTCCCTCCTCTCTCAGGTGCTCCCACCTTGGTGGCACTGGGAGCCTGAGGAACCCAGACTCACTGCCTTCAGCAAACTCGAGTGACAGCCCATTTGCTGGTGGATTAATGAGCACTCCAGCTCCTGATTAGCTACACGCTGTGTGTTGTGTTCACAGCACCTGACTGACATAATTTATTGCCCTGACGGTTTATCGTCTCATTAATCATTCTTTGCATCCCCACCTAGCTACAACCTTCTCCTCATGTTTCTTGTCTGGCCATCAAGCTCAGTTTGCCAAAGTGGAACGGTTCTGCTCATCTTTCTCATGGCTTTTTTCCCTTCTCTTTCTCATTGCTCTAGTCATCTTGCCAGCAAATTTTTGACTATCCTTTGCTGCCCTCCTGACCTGTGTTTCATACATAGCTCTGCATCCCTTCATTACCTCTAATTTTGTCTTTTGATGCTGTCTGGAAGCTCCTCTTTCTTTCCAGCTTATCTTTCTTCTATTGAGTGCTTGGATGGTCTACAAAGAGCCATCTATGCCTTATGCTGTCCTGACAACTGGTTGTCTTGATTCCACCAGACCAATCCCATTTACCATCAAAAACCTGGATAAAATCTGAAGCAAGGTCTTGTGAGCATTTTGCCAATGTCCACCCTGCAGCAGAACCATAAAATATCCTGAGTTGGAAGGAATCCACATGGATCATCAGTCCAACTCCAGGCCCTGCACAGACACCCCAACAATCTACTCGGTGCTGAGAGCATTGGCCAAACACTCCTGAGCTCTGTCACCTTGGGGCTGTGACACTGCCCTGGGAGCTGTTCAGTGCCCAAACACCTCTGGGGGAAGAACCTTGTGCTGATATCCAGCCTAACCCTCCCCTGACACAGCTCCATGCTGTTCTCTCAGTCCCATCATTGTCACCAGGGAGAAGAGATCACGATGCTCTCTCTCCTGGAGAGCTCTGCCCTCATGGTGCAGGGTGGCTGTCACCCCCTTTTCACCACTTAATCCCCAGCATGGATGTTTGCTGGAAAAATCTGCACAGAGCTGCAGATTGTGTCTGCACCAGAGGGCGCTTAGAGACTGCCGAGCCAGAGTC